ACAGAGGTTTTGTTATGTTGCAATAAGTGATAGAAATGGTGTTAACAGTTGTGGATGTACAAAGACAACAGTTTTTATGGAGTTATTCATAAGTGCATTGTTACATGTAAAATTCTATCATCCTTTTGACTTTCAGGTCAGGTCAGCCTTACATAAATATATTAGCGCTATTGAATCTGAAATATATGTATTTTTCAATATTCATTTTTACTCAAAGAGAATATCAAATATACTTGAATTTTCCAACTGCTTCCTCTAGTCTATAAACCTTTTTCTAACAACTGTTGACACTTCTGATCAATTTGATAAGAGTAGTTCAAATTATAAAAAGATACATGTAAACTTCTTTGTATCAAATTTCCATTTTTAAATGCATTTTTAAAATTGCAGGGTTATACAATAATCATTACTATTTTCAACACCTTGTTTACCTCCTTTGGATAAAAATATCCTATAAATTAAATTTTCCATTTATTTGAAATAATATATGTAGAAAACTGCGGTATAATCTTTGGGTAAAGGGAATTGCCTATAAACATTTTTAATGACTAGATTTATGTTTCAAAAGTGAAACATATCCTCTAAAGCTAATGAATATCAAATATCTAAATAAATGGTATTTAATGAGATTTATGTGCTATTTCATATAAATATATTATGCAAAAATTAGATAATACCTGCTTTATTGAGGGTAATACCAGTTGTATACAGAAAATTGTCCACTTTCAAAAATTGTTGTAGAACTGTAAGATAGCCTGTTACGTTGCTGATGTGATGGTTGTCGGGTAGTTTAATTAAGGCTTTTGAAAACTGAACACTTGGTTGAGATTTGGCATCTGGAAAAAAGAAACCTTATCAAGAAATAGACAAAACAAATGCATATAAGCACAGCATCATTGGTCAGGACATTTTGCTTTAAGGGAAGCAGTTATTTCTAAACATTGCTGACATGTCATATAATCATTTTAAATTTGGAACTGAAATATATAAGGACTCTCCCTTTCTTCAGATCACACAGGCACCTCTAACAAGAGAGACTGACTGATGTTGCCCAGCATGTCCTTACCCTTTTTTTGGGTTTCATTCTAGGGGTACCACACACTAACCGTTTTTATAGCCCATGTGATTCACTTGGGATTTCATTTCTGTAACACGAACAGAGTTAATGGCGCATGCCAGAATGGCCTGAAGCCAAGCAGAAGCATTTCATTATCCTCTTGGCCACAGTGTTTTGTTCAAGGATGGGCCCTGTGACAACCACAGTTAGAGAGCTGTGTGGGGAGTTTTGCTGGGAGTTCTAGGGGAAGAGGGCCGCTTTCTCACCCACTGGATTTTATGTGAGGAGGAACATATCCAAGAGTTGAAAAGCCATCCTATTACCAAAAATGGAAACTTACTAGAAAATTGAGACAATATTAAGGAGCAGAAAGTTGAGAAATGGAGAGAGAAAAACTAGTTCTCAATTATTTCAACTGAAGCCCTGATCAAGCCATGTCTAAAGTTGGTCCTATTCCTAGACTTATTTATTTATTGCTCAGATAACTGACAAGTGCCTCCTTGGAGCTTAAGCTAGTTGAGGACTGGATATGGCTGAATATCATCAGAGGCACATTTTCTTTTGCAAGGTACTAAAGTGGGTGGGTTTCTCTATCTGATAACAAAGCATTAATTAAAAATCTTCCAAATGCCAGGCACTGAATTTATATATATTATCTCATATTAATAACTTTGAATTGACTATCCTATCATGTATGGAGTGAGAGCCCAGTGACAATATTTATGTAATTATATTTAACAAATCAGGGGTCAACTCTTAAGTCATTAATACTCAATTTTTTCAGAAGCATCAGCTTTTGCTTTGGACTTTAAGATCACTGATAAAGACAGAAGCAATCAGTTAAGCAAGAAAAATACCTGGAAAATACGTAAGGTATATAAATAATGACAACATAGTTAAACAAACAAGAATAATGTAAGTTGCTTGAGAGCACAATCTGCTACCATCTGATCACTTACACTTTACTACCTACAACTTAACTCCTAAAATATGTGCCTTATTTATGTTACAGACCCACATTTCCTACAAATGAAAACATATACTAAAGAAAATGTCTAGCTGAACTTTTCTAAGGATTTGTACAATCTTGAAGTTTCTAGTCTTTCTTGCTCCTTTTACAAAACCATAAAGACATTCACACATAAGCCTAATATATTTTCAGTGTACAAACTGAACATCTCCCTGACCAAATCTTGGGAAGAAAGATATAAATGCTTCATGGAAGTTAAGAAGTGAGGATTTTCAGGAACACCCCTCCTTCCTTGGTTGGCTTTACCAATGGGTCCACTCTTAGAGAAATGAGGCAGTAAAAGGAAGTGATCTGAGGATTCAAGAGGGCTTGGTGTTGTCATGGAGACGTGCCCAGGCAGGACCAGTATTAGCTCACCATCCTCGGAAGAGGGGCAAGGCGGTGGCTCATGGACACATTCACACTGATTCATTTCATGTATTCCAACAGTTACAATTTGTAATGGGGTTTGTGTCAAAACAAAACCAAAACCAAAACAAATAAATAAAGCGCTAGAAGAGGGACTGTGGAGAAACCCATCTCATTGAGGTCCCCAGCAATGTAAAATGTGGCCTCTCTCTGGTAGTTCCTACTTACTTTTCATCCTTCTACACACATCTGCACATCCACTCATTCTGCCAAATGCCTTAATGTTTCACAAGAGTATATTTCTTGGTAAATTACTCCCAAATTAATCAAGTTCTAACTTATTTTTTTCTAACTAATATATTTTCTTTAAGAATCAAATAAGACAGCTTCTGAAAAACTCCACAAACAATTCTTTTTACCATGACTCTTACTAGACTCTACCTTTGAAGATTTTCTGCCTTTACCAGTCATTCCTATTATGCTTTATGCAGTGAAAGGGTCACAAAATGCTGTGGTTTCCCCTAAGGCCTAGTTCCGGAAGGTGGTGAGGTAAGGATGAAACTATCACCTTTGTGGGTGGTAAAGCAGAACTGAAGGTCACAACTGGAATCAGACACAAAATAAGATTTTTTGGATTCTTCCCCTTGGGATATGCAAGTGGAGTATATACCATGTCTGCCCAGCAGATACATTAATTACTCAGTCCGAGGCCTTTTTCTTACAGGCACCAAGTTTAATGCCAGAAGCAGGAATGCTGGTGACAGACAAATTAGCGCCAAAAATTAAATATTCCTATGTAGGGGGGCTAAAACACTAAGGGGAAAAAGGATTCCAACTACACAAACCCATACTTTATTTCGATAGGGCTAATCGTCCCTAGTCAATTTAGATTCTCCCCAGGAATCAACATTGATTCATTAGTGAAGAAGTACACTTACATAATAATCACTTTGACTGTTTATTTACTAGCTGAGTAAGAAGTGTTGTACTTACCAGCTAATTTTCCAGTGATTAAAACAGTGTCTTCAAATAGCCATATATTGGCTTGGCTTTGTGGGAACAGTGAAAGTGTAACTGATGAATATACTGTGAAACACAACACAATTAGAATACTTTATTAAATGTGGAGTTAAAACTGGGTTAAATATAGTTCTGTTCCAGCAGGTCCTAAAAAGTCAGAAAACCGTCTATGTGATAGGATAATTCAAACAAAGGAAGAGTAAATGTTGGAGTTTTTAGAAAGGTCACAAAGTGGAATGACAAGACTGGCATCATGATTTTATTTTACTCATCATCTTTCCTATTTCATACAGTAGTTTGTATCAAAGTGTCTCAAATGTTTTCTAACTAACCCCCAATATATATACATGGTCAAGTGAAATACTTACATAACCTTCTGCTACTTTGTCTTTATTCTTGTTATTTCCTTATGGGAAAAAATTATTTTTGGCTCCATAATTCAAGGTTCTCTAAGACAGAGACTACATCCACTCTTCTTTTTTACCTCCCTACATAAGGGTGCAAAGCTCTTCTTCACACAGGATGGTTTGCCAAACAAGCTGAGCTGGCAGAGGGGGAATCTGTCTACAAAATGGAACAAATGATCTGCAGGCAACCATGAGTAGTAACACAGGATGAGGCCAAACCTGACCACAGGAGTAGGCACAGTAAGTAACTGCTGGGATGGAGTGCAGATGATCTAAAGGAAAAACAAGTTTTGAGGCGTTGCCTAGAGTAGGAGGTCTCATTTGGTAACTCTCCTCTATGCAATGTGAGTAAACTTAATAGAAGTAACATAATATCCCTAAATCTCCTAGGACAGGATAAAACACATTCATACAAGAATACTTTTCATATTTTAAGATATTCAAAGAGCTGTAAAAGAAATATGGCAATGAGGATAAAACACGAAATGTATACAATGATGGATGAAAACTCAAACACCTTTTTCCCGAAATAGGTAAAGAAGGCAAAGTGTAATTTAAATTTAGAATATACTAACAGACTAATCAGTGGATTTATTAGATTGGAGAGGAGGTGACAGAGAAGTAGCTTGGACACTGAGATGATTATCATTAGGACACATATCCCTTATTTGGATACTTTCTCAGTCACAGAGAGCTTAAAAGGGACAGCCCTGAGAGCTTTTTAAGGCTAATAACCCTGAGAAGCATCTTGTGAACTGCACTAAAACTTACATTCAGATTTCCTTCCACTTAAAAAATTTTTCTCATTATAAAAGGAATGTACATCCACTCTGGAAAAGTTGGGAAATACAGAAATAAAAAGAAATGGATGGGCATCACAAGACCACACAGAGACAACCACTATTAATATTTCAGAATTGCTCTTCCTGGATTTTTCCTGTGGGTTTTTTTTTAATAGAGAGTATGATATTGTATACAGAGTGTTTTTACCCTGTTTCTTCACTTAATATCTTAAGCATTTCTGTCCTTCCATAGAAACTTTTCATAACATTTTCAAGGTCACATACTTCATTTCTTCAAGTATCAAGATTTAACCACTATACTAATATTGTATATTTAGACTGTTTCCATTTTCACTAATACAAAAATAATATTTGAATCAACATCCTTGTGCTTGAGTATCTGTCAACCTTAGTTTATTTATAGGTCCATTCTTAGGATAGATTCCTAGCACTGGAATACTGGGTCAAAGGTTATGAAGATTTCTTAAGATTTATGAACGTTTCAAAATTGCTATCCAGATAATTTCACTGACTTGTACTCTCTCCAACAAGGTTTGTGAATGCCAACCATACCTCACTGTCAATATTGAATACGTTCGCAATGTCAATATTGAGTTTTTAAAAAACTCTTCTAAGGTGAAAAATCTAAGAAATGTGCATTTCTTTGGTGTACAAATCTTAGACTATTAGGGAGATGAAATATTCTGCCACATTTATTAATCATTGGAAAATTGCTAGGTGATGATTTTTTCCATTTACCTGATTTAGTCAGGATGTTGGTATTTATATGAATTTCTTGCCTACTAAGAATATCACTCCTTATTGTTTCATATATTTTCCTACCTTTTAAAAAATGTTTAAAAATTAAGATATAATAGACATATAGTTTAAGGTGTACATTATCCATTATTTATATATATTGTAAATATATCAAATACATTGCACAATTAGTCTAGTGCATCAAATAAGTTTGAACATTCTTCATCATGAACATCTACAAAATTTTTTTCTTATTAAAACAACTTTTGAAACCTACTCTCTTATGAACGAACTTTCAAACATACAAAATAGCATTATTAACTATAGTCACCAGGCTTTATGGTACCTTTTGAAAAAATATCGTGAAATCTATCTTTTATGACATCATTCATTATTGTTAAGTTTAAACAGACCATCCTAATAAAAAAAAAATCTGTTTCTTTTCTTATATTTAATATGAACTCTTTGAGCAATATATTTTGGAATATGTATCCAAATTAATTTACTCCATATAGCTGACCAAAATATCCCAATATTACTTATTGAATATTCAGCCTATGATTTATAATGGTCCTTATAATAAATTACAGCTTTATATACAATAATATGTACAGATCACAGTACAATGTCACAGTTTTAATTTTGTAACTATATAATATTTTAGTTATCTGGAATGGCAAGTTACCTCTAGGTAGATCTTTTCAAACAAGATCCCCAGGTATTTTTGCATACTTAAAGAATATTCAAGGATTATTTTGCCAGTTTTTTAATGCATTAAATCCATGAATTAATTTGGGAAGAACTGTAATCTTTATAATATTCAGGCTCTCTAAGAAGTGTTTTTCCAGTGACCCAGAATTTAGTTTAGTTGGTTTTCTAGGTCTGTCAGTAACATTTGGTAACTTTCCCCACATGTGGTTATTTCACATTTTTTATAGGCTTGTTTGACATATTTTGTTTGTCCTTGTTATTCTAGGGGATTTCTTTTCATTATTTCTCCTAACTTGTTATTACTTCTGGTATATAAAAAAAATATTGGTTTGTACCACTGCTAATTTTGCAATCACTAATTCTGTTGAAATTCCATTAATTTTGAGTTTTAAGATTGATGTTTTGTAGTTTTCCAAGAATGTGATCGTAACTGGAAATAAGTTTGATTTTTCTTTTCTAATACCTATGCCCTTTTTCTGTCTATTTTATATTTTTTGCTCTGAAGGACTTCTGCAATGTAAAATAATATGTACAACTTCAGTTTCTTACTTTAGTAGGATCGCCTCTAATATTTTATAGTTAAATATGACTGAGTTATTTACCATATTAAGAAGATCTTTGTGGTCCTAATTTTTAGAGAGCTTGTTCTAATTCAGGGCTGGATGGCGAACTTATGATATGCATTTCAGACAACTGTGGATCTTATACAGTAGTTCTAGTTTGTTCCAATATGATATAAAAAGTTAATAGAGTTTGATGTATTTAACATCCTTATAATCCTGCAAAGAAGAAAAATCCTATTTGGTCTTAGCAGAATGCTGTATTTTAAAAATGGTAAAATTCTTTTCACTGTTCTGTTAAGGATTTTTTCATGTAGAGTTATAAGTAAGATTGATTCACGGGAGGAGGGTGTATAAGTACATATAAGGGCATTTAATTTTGTATTACCTTTGTTAAGTCTCAAAGGTTATTAAAAAAACTCCAAATCATTTTATAAAACCAGTAGACTCACACTATTTATAATAGCCAAGACATGGAAGCAACCCAAGTGTCCTTCAATAGATGATAAAGCTGATGTGGTACATAAACACAAGGGAATATTATTCAGCCATAAGAAGAAAAGAAATCCTGCCATTTACAACAACATGGATCTAGGGGGTATTATGCTTAGTGAAACAAGAAAATATAGTATGATTTCACTTATTTGTAGAATATAAAAATAAAGCAAAACAGAATGAACAAAACAGCAGTAGACTCATAGACACTGAAAAGTGACTAGCGGTTACCATGCAGGAGGGTTTGGGAGGGGTGGATGAGGGGGTGGGATGAGGTGGATAAAGGGGCACTAAAAATAAAACAAGTAGAGTCGAGTTATTTTTACCTGTAACATTTTATCCATGGTTATTGTTCTACCTCATCTAAAATCAATGTAGTCATTTATATTAATATAAAATTGTTCATTTTATTGGATTTTAAATTGCCATCAAATTTGATATAGAATGTTTTATGATTTTTACTTTTATAGATTTCATTTCTGTTTATCCAGATGTATGCATAACTTATTTGATTTCAAAGAACTAGCGTTTTGTCAATTATCTCTTCTTATATTTTCTAATATATGTCAATCTATTTTAATCTTATTTCCTTTTTCCCAATTGATTTCGTTTTTTCTTTCATTAAATGAATAATTGTGCTTAAATTCTATCTTTAAAGCATTTAAAATCATGAAATCACCTCAAACACATCCCTATTCAGATTTTCTAGTTATGATTTCATTAAAATCTTTTTCTCATGACTCTTAATCTAATTATCTAATTTTTCATTTTCTTTCTCATTCTAAATTTACGAAGTCAAGAATTCAAATGTTTCCATTAATTAGACTTGCATTCTGTCATCTTGTGTGTCATCCTTCCCAAAGTCCAATTACTCACAATAAGTCCTACCAATTTTTTTTTCTCAGTTTTGAGATACAACTGACAACCCAGTGTAAGTTTAAGGTGTACATGATGATTTAATACATACTGTGGAATGATTACCATGATCATTAACAGTACGCCTCCTGTACTCACCCTCTCTTCAATTCGGCTGCTCCTGTCCTCTAGGAACACACCACAGCTCTGTAGCCAAGACTCCCTGAATCCACTTTGGCCCTGCTGTTGGCCTAATCATTATACATTAAGTAAATTCAAACAACTTACATTTATTATTAAGCACATAAATCTAAACTTTTTGCCTCATCCTTTCATCATCTGGCCCCCCTCTACCTGGGCCACCTGCTTCTTGCTCATTCTCTGAGTGTGCCAGACCCCTCACCTCCACCTGTACCAGACAAGCTTTGTACCAGAGCAGAGTTCTTGCTCAGGGTTCCTTCAAGCCTCTGTAGAAGTAAAATGGCCTTCATGCTTTCTTTAAACTGGCCTCCTTATATTGACTTCACATAAGTCGTCTTAGTTCCCATTTACCAGAACAAGAGATTCCCAAAGCAGAGAAATCATTCACATTCAGTGACAGAACACTGCTGAAGTGCTTACTTGGCATTTTTCCAGTCTTCCAAGGCAGAGGTGTCAACACATAGCCATCTTTGTGAGCAGTGATGGTCAAGCTGAGCCCTAACTTATAAGGTACTTTGATCAGCACTGCCCCGTTGTTCTTGGTCACTGTGGAATTTGTCTTCGTGTAGTTTACAAACACTTCCACTGCTGCTTGACTCAGGTACTGACGACTGATGATGTCATTCACCTGGACTTTCAGCATAAACACAGACACTGGAAGAGAAAAGAGCCAGAAATTGCAGCACGCTAGATCCTAGAATGCATATGTCTGTTATTCTTTAACAGTACAAAACTGTTGATAATTTTTGGAAATACATATGGTGGATGGACAGAGGTGTAAAAACATTCCAACAAATTCATTATTCTTCCTAAAACTGAATCTGTTACTAGTAAAACACAGTATTAGTACTCCATTTTTTTTTTTTTTTTGCCAGTTAAAAAGAGAGAAAGGGGAGAGTGAATAACAAAAAGAAGTTCTTCAGAAAATTACATTTTTACTTTGCCTCACTAATACTAATGCTATCAAGTTAGGTAGATTTAATGCCAATTCAAAATGTACTCAAAGTTCTTAGACTAAACTGTGATCTCACCAAACCCATTAGTGTATGACTAGCTCCTTTATTTGGCTCTGCTGTCTGGAAAGCAAGGGATGTGTTTCAGTTCCAAATTACAAAACACCAACACAAAATCTTTAAAATACAAAGTATTACTCATTAAATATAAAAGAAAACATATGAAGATAATAAATTGAGGAAAATAAGAATTAAAGCTTTTTTCTAAACCTCCAGCCTTAAAGGGCTCAACAATGTGTTCATGGATTTGCCAATGATAATGTCTGGTTAAAAAAGAACTTGTATCACCAGGGAAATGCTTTTGCAAACACTATCAGAACACGCTTGCCAAAGATGCCTCCTCTTCCACTATAAACGGGCTTTGGAGTCAAAGTCCATCTCTGCTATTCCCTAGACATGTGACTTTGGATAAATTACCTCTCAAAGTTCATTTATTAATCTATAAAATCAGGAGAACAGTAACTACTTTGGGGTAATAAAATGAAATAATGCAATTCTTCACAGTTCTTGGTTGTCAGTATTTGAAATAAAAATTGTTATTCTGCAATTGGAGACCACAGAGTACAGTGATAAGGCAATAATACCTTGAGGACTCATTATGCTGCTATGCATTTGCATAAATTCACTTTACTCAAAATAATTATCAAGAACATATCAGGTTAAAATCCATAGCAACAGTGCTACCAAATTATTGTTATGCCTTATCTATTCTAATTTTGTTAAAGTAAACTAGACTTTAAAAACTGCTTTTGGATGATAACAAAGATATATTTTAAATACAAATAGAACTATAATAATCTCCCAGTCCTAGGGAAAGTGAGGTTCAGGAAGCTAGAGAAGAGCTCTGATCCTTTCAAGAATCAAAAAATGAGGTCATTTGTTATCCAAACACTATCCTTTATATATTCAAACATATTTTAGCATATTTCCTCTTATATGTGATAATTATAACCATAATTAGAACTACAGTATGTGGAGGATTAAGGAGTCAGGCATTTTGTTCATTTTTAAGTGCAGCACCCCATTTACTCTTCAAAAATCTTCATTAGAGATATACTACTGTTTCCTTCGTTTTATATATTGGTAACTGCAGGTTGGAGAGGTTCGTAAATCAGCCATGGCCAACCCATGGTAGACGGAACAGGACCCAAAACTTGGGACCCCCTCCTCCTCCAAGCTTGTGCTCTTAAACCATTGTGTGACAACTGCCTGATTATACTCCTAATAACTCTAGTCCCAGTTTAGAGTGTGGAGATAGGAAGAATTAATTAGGAAAAATAAGGAAGAGGGAGGATTATATCCTGGATAGTCACAACATTAAAATGAAGTTCTACTGGTCTGTCTGAAACATTTAATTTCCAAGACAACAATCTCACTTCAAATATAAATATGGAGAATAGATTAGAAAGCAAAATATAGGAAGCTTAAGTTTACCCACACTTCTGCTTCCTCCACATTTTTAATAATAGCCATATAGGAGGTTAAATAATTTGTGCGTAGTCATTACTTTCAACAGATAAATTCAGGAGCATCAGGTACTAAAAGGTCAACTAAGCCTCGGGCCTTAAGTCTCCCTGTTCCTCAAATTATTTAAATATTTTCCCATCCTATCAAAAAGTTTAGCCCATTACTCTGATTTCACTCTAAAATAAAATCATGTGACAAAATCAAAATATGAAGAAGGGCTGGGAATAAATATATGTTCCTGACACCAAGCATTATATGTATATTACCACAAAAATCTCAATCTGTCTTCTTTGTAAAATATGTAATAACTGCCCATTTTACTGATGAAGAGATGAGGATTCAGACAGGTAATGTAAACTGTCCCAAATCTCACAAATATTAAGAGGCTGTGTCAACCTTTGAGTGTCCCTGTGAATGACTCCAAAGTCATCTTTATACCATGTAATAGTCTTGGGATCACACTAAAATTAATTCAAGGACTATGTGATGACATATAGAGAACTTGAGAACTTAAATTCTTACATAACATCAATAAAAAGAACTGATGTTTGTCCACACCCACAAATGCACATTCATGCTAAATCACAGCCTCAGACTCAAATGGGAAATATAACTCTTGGGTTCAAAAATAAAAGATTGTAATACATGTGACATGATGGGCTCCTAAACCACATGTACTTGAATAGGTCCATCTAGTACAAAAATTTATTTACGTGTAGAGGACAAGTAGCTGCTGCTCAATTCAAAATAATTCTCCTGGCTGCAGGCCCCGAACCACCTAGATGAGATTTATTGAACTACTGGCACAAACCTAACTTAAGAGGGACCAGAAAGACCCTGAAATGACCTTGACATGAGACAAGATGCACAGAGGCTAATAGTTGCTGGAACTGAATCATCTTAGAGATACAGTCTATAAGCTCCCACCACAATGCCTTCCAAAGTCCCCTGGTCCCTGCCTTCTAAAGCTGGGTTGTGCAGCCCTTCCTGCTGATCTGTGACCTACATTATAATCCCTCCCTTTATTTCTTATAGCCAGAGTCAGGTTCTGTAGCTTGCTTCCAAAGTAAGCACCTTTAATGATACAGGGTACAACTGTAAATGTAGGATGTTTTATTTAATGAGCTACTCTCTTATAAGAGAAGGCAAAAGAAGGAAGGATAATGTACCAAAATTAGGATAAACCATATGAGAGGGAGACTGCACATAACTAAAAGGGACTTAAGATTCTCTACTAAATTTGATAGAGTCTTGTTCAAATCAAACGTTCTTTCCTACAATGGTTCCTGCAACAGCATACTTAGGAATAGGACTCAGTAGGGAATTTTTGTTAATTTATTTGCTCCAAAATTCATTTCAGAAATTCTCAGAGCCTTTGAATTTATAAACTCCAATGTGTTAGGATGCTCTTAAGCTAAATTCATTTTTTAGAAACTATGTATATTCCATCTGTTTCATCCTTGTAAGAAGTACAGTTGCCAAAAATAAGACACACTGAAACCCCTGACAGTCTGAAGCTGGGATGATTTCATAAAATGTTTTCTAAAATACTTTCTAATCCAGAAAGGAAGGTTTTATTATTTCACATTTCATATAATACATTTGATGAGAAAATGAGTATCAAATTCAGAAAAAAAATGATTTGCAAAGGTTAAATATTGGCATCAAAATTACACTCTCCCTCTCTGAGGAGATTCCCTTTTTCTGTGCCTTAGTTCATCCCCTAGACTTCACACATGATGTAGGCCTGGCCAGTAAGGGCTCTCTCTAGTTCAAACTGGAAAAAACTAAGGATATTTTCATGATATACACCCACCAGGTCCTGTGCCAGAAACCTTTATATATGCTTTCCAATTTCATTCTAATACAAACCTACAAAACATTTTCCCTGTTTTAAAGCAAGGAAATTGAGGCTATAACTGCAGAATTTAGGGTATAGGCAGGATTAATAGATGAGTTCATCTGATCCCGAGTCCCCACACATTTTAGCCCACACATCTTTCACTGAAAAGGTTTAGGATGTGGATTTCCTCACATTAACTAGCTTACTTCTTTCCTCCAATCCAGAGCAGGGAAGGAAGTGCTCACTCACTGGCCTTTTGTCCCCATCCCTTTATCTGGTCCCACCATAAGCAGCAGCAAAACAGTATAAAAGAAAAACAAACAAGCAAAACAAAACAAACTCCGCTGAAAGCCTGGTCACAGCAATTAAAGAGGCATGAGCAACTCTTTTTCCTCCAAATAAAAGAAAAAGTTACAAAGAACTGCCTGCCCACGACTTAAATAGGATGTTTATGACTTCAGTGATATCAGCAGTTCAGTGAAGCACAGAGCTGGCAGCCAGAAGCAATATTATTTCTATAACAAGCTCCCTTACCAGTTTTCTACTCCAACAAAAATACTTTGGCATTTAGATTGGTCAGATTTCTGTGATTAAACATGTGATTTTCAACCGGTGGTACTTTTGTCTCCATAATCTACCTACTCCTCTCCATTGTATTTTTCCCAGTCTTCCATGCACTTATTATTTTCTCTGTCACTTAATTATACTCATTAAGTTTTGCCCACATAATCTGCTTTTCAATATGTCACATTGGCTTAAAAATGGTTCAGTATCAAATGACTTCAACTGCACCCTTCGAAAACATACAATCTAAATGTTAAGAGAAACAAAAAAAATATAAAATACACATCAATGAGCATGGTCCTGAGGTTGCAGGGAAAAATTTATTTCACAATTAGAAGCAATGTTTACTAATAATCACTAAATTCAAAAGGCTAATAAATATGTGTAAAGAAATGTTCTTAAAAAGTATATTAGAACCAACACTGTATTATGGTTTTGCAATAGGATATAGATGGGTAACTCAAAGTGTAGGGTTTTAAAAAAGCACTGCTAACTCTATACTTGGGTGACAACTAAAGTTTGAAGTGGGGTAGGCTGATAAATTACAATCCTACTTCTCTTCAAGAGAACCTGACATCATCTTATTATGTTGTTACCATTACTTTGATTACAACTGTGCCCATGCAGAAGCCACCTTATTTTCAGATTTCTCCAGTATAAAATTAGCCTGTTTCTTCTGTTAAATTTCAAGCATCTCAGTAATTTAATTTAATATAAAACAAAATTTTTCCTCTCTAGGAATACAATGCTAAAAATATGCTAGGTAT